GCATGGATGCCTGAAGACCTGAGAGAAGGCCAGTGTGGCTGGACTCCTTGAGTGAGGGGTACAGTGGTCGGGATATAGACTGGAGAGCCATGCGGGGTCGTTCCAGCCACAGGGGTCATCATGTGGGCAGACTGGGTGACTGACAAAGTCAGGACATAGTGTTTTACCCAGTCCCAGGTTTTGTTTTGATTTTAATGTTTCCAGGAGTATCCTGTCGTTGCATTTCCATAACCTGAAAAATTCTTTAAATATGTACTAATCACAGGATATAATTCTCACTAGATTAAGAGAAGCACCTTAGGTCACCTTGTGTAGGTGAAGAGTGCCTTAGGAGTCCATACCTGGCCCTGCAAACTGGCTCCAAGACAGCCCAAATACTACTGAAACTCACTGTTAATAACTTCTGTCTCACTCTTGTGTTTTCCCAAACATCTAACACAATGATCACATTTGACTACCCCCAAATAGCATGAAAGTGAAAGTGTTAGTCGTTCAGTCATGTCTGATTCTTTGCAGACCCATGGACTGTAGCCCGCCAGGCTCCCCTGTCCATGTATTTCTCCAGGCATGAAAACTGGAGTGGGTAGCCATTCCTTCTGCAGGGGATCTTCCCAACCTGGGTCTCCTGCATTGCAGGTGGATTCTTTGCCATCTGAGCCACCAGGAAAGCCAGTTTGAGCAAACTTTGGGAGGCAGTGAAGGACAGAGGAGCCTGGTATCACAGTCAGACACAACTTAATTACTGAACAACAGCAGAATAAGTGTGAAGTAGGGCATTTTAACACTGAGGAAGATGTCCAGTGACTTGACTCAAATTCCATCCGCCCCGAGGGGACACTTGAACTGACATGAACTGCTTCTAGATTAAAATGGTTTTTCCCACAGACCACCACTGAGTCACCTACAAACTCTCTCTGACCTCCTTAATGTCATGAAACTCTAGAATTTTCCAAGTTGTAGGGAAACTTGACAATCAACCAACCTGTTGAATTTTCTCATTTGGAAATTTCAGGAAGTTTGAAAAAATTTGAGAAGCCGTAATATTTCAGAAAAAGACTATAAAAGTGGTATTTTCCACTAAAGGAAGTGGGAAGTCCTTACCGAGTTCTGTCTAGTGACTCACTGTTGGCTCCCTAGCACATGCCATGTAACGGAAAGACTCTCCTCCCATCACTAGTAGCAGTGACCTTAGGAGGCCCATCGCTTTCCTTGGTACCCTCTGATTTCTCAATATAAAATAAAAATGTAAAGTGACTACAACTGATGACAACAAATAATCTTATAATTCAGCACATACACACAGAGAATTGAAACAAAAGTTCCAATAATATGTACTTATCCTTACTAGAGCAATGTATGCTTTTCTTTAAAAAAAAAAAAACTTTTAATTTTATATTGGAGTATTGCCAATTAGCCATGTTGTAATAGTTTCAGGTGGGCAAGCAAAGGGACTCAGCAATACATATATATGTACCCAATCTCCCCCAAACTCCCCTCCTGTTCAGGCTGCCACATAACATTGAGCAGAATTCCATGTGCTATACAGTAGGTCCTTGTTGGTCATCCATTTTAAATATAGCAGTGTATACACGACCATCCCAAACTGCCTAACGATCCCCTCCTCCCATCCTTCTCCGCCGGCAACTGTAAGTTTTTTCTCTGTGAGTCCGTTTCTGTTTTATAAATGAGTTCATTCACTTTTTTATTCTACTTTTTCAGAAAAAGCTCTTTGCAATCCGCTAAACTGATTTTACTACCCACTAGAGTTTGAAATCCTCAGCTTGACAAACTCTGGACTGGATCCCCTCTGAGATGCCTCCTAGTCTGGTTCCCTGACATTCCCCAGGGCAGTCCAGAATCCTTTAAGGCAAGTAGCTACTGTCTCTGAATCTGGCAGCTCCAGGGTGACTTGGAGGTTGACACTATCAGTTTTTTGGCCTCAGCAGCTAGCACTGGCTGCCCTTGTGGCGGTTTGTCCCTACGTGGATAAACAGAGCATGAACATGGCCTTCTGATTACAGATGGCTGAGATCTGGTGGAGAAAGATCTACATTCAAACTGTAGAGTTAGAGAACTTGGCCAGTGTCTGCCAGCTCCCACCCCAGATGCCCACACACCACACACTACATACACCACACACCTCACCCATGAACATACAGCCCTCATAGTTGTCCACTTATTCACCACACATGCACACAGACCCCCTACATGCTATACACATGTACGCATGCCATGTGTATACACACACACACACTCACCATATACTACATATATCTTCCACAACATACATACACACAGACCACACACACACACACATTGGCACTTCAACAGTGACACCACTGAAGCACTTTGTTTTTAAAAATTGCACTCTTTTAAAGAAAATCAAATACTAATGCTATGGTATTTCACATATATTTTTTCAAATTTAATTAAATTCTCACTTTATAAGTGGTAATTTTCCATGTTTTTGTTTATTCTAGTCTATAATAACTTAACACTGTATATTAATGTTTATATCTTGAATAATTTACACAATTCCTTAATGTTTTAAAAGAGACTTATAAATGCTTGCTTTTGAAAAGTACTGCACATCTTGTTTCACTGATGTTTTAAATTTTATGAATTCTGAAGATTTTAAACTCTAATAACAGTATCAAGGCCAGTATTTCACCATGAAGCGAAGTAGGTCTTGAAATCTGAACATCACCATTTTGCCTTAGAGCTGCCATCACCCACAGGGAGGTGGAGAAATACTGGTTCTCACGCCCTCTTGATGATTCTGAAGCTGCTTTCAGTGTCTCGCCCAGTGCCTGGCATCTGGAAAGCTTGCAGGAAACATCTGGTGAGAGTGGCTGAAAAGGAAAAGGGGGAGTGGGGAACAGGAGAAGAAAGAAAAGAAAAGGAGAAAGAAGAGGGAGAGAGACAGAGGAAGAAGGGGAGTGAATGAACCAACAATTGGAGTGGGTAGAGCGAGTGAGATAGAACAACTGTATATTGCTTCTGCCTTAGACGTCTTTCCCTATGGAAAATGGAAATCAAAGACCATTTCCATGATGGATCTTGTTCAAAATGTTATTGCTGGAACCCACCTGGTAAAGTGGCAATTTTGTGGGATGTTCATGGAAAATTCAGCTTTCCATCTGCTAGAGGAAGCAAATCTTGCTGAGACATTTGACAGACACACAGTTGTTTAGTCTTGGACATGCACTTTTCCATGGTAACAGAAGCCATGTCACGGAAATATATGCGTCACTCATCTAAATTGTTTTCTTTGCATCTCTAAGGATCACACATGAGTTTTGGAAGGAAGGATAGGGTTTTTTTGTTCCTTTTAATGATGAAACATTTTAAATGGTTATTATTTTTGAATCATCAGAAGATACAGATAACTATAAACAAGAAAACAAAGATTACATATTAGTCAAAACATCCAGAGATGATAATTATTAACATTTGGTATTCCAGATTTTATTTTAATACAAAAAATAGATGTATATATTATATATACACATACATGTATTACATTACATATTCTTTTGTTTCGTTGAATATGTTGAGGACATCTCTGTCCATTTTTAAAAATATTATTACACAGCTTTCTGTTCCCCTATGGAAGATATTTAGGTTTGCCAATTTTTGATTATTCTAAATTACACAGTACAGAACATTCTTGTGGAGGCATTTTTTGTGCATTTATTTCCTTAGATGTGAGGATTCAAGTGTCAATATGCACATTTTAAAATGCTATATCAATTTGCCAAATTGCCCTCCAGAAACTCTGAGCCAATTTATATTCTCTTTAAAGTGTATGAAAGTGCCTATTATCTCACGCCCTCATCAACACTAGTTATTATCGTTCTTTTCAAACTTTTCTAGTTTTATAGGTTAAAAGGTATTTTCATTTTTATTTTAATTGGCATTTCATATATTCTTAGTGAGGTAAAATAATTTTCACATTTTTTGGTTATTTGCATTTCACCTTTTTGTGTAACCTGCCTGACAGTGTTTCAACTGTATTTTTCCAATGTGTTTTTTGTCTTTTCCTTAATTTCTAAGAGTTCTTCATAATGCAAAGATAGTAACCCTTTGCTGCCATATATGTTGTGAATTCTTCTTTTAGTTTTTCATAACTCTGAATATGTAGACATATAGATGTTTTATTTTGTTTTAAGGAATCAGTATACCTACAGTTTTCTTGTTGTTTCTTACTTTTGATTCATGGGTAGAGAAGTATCCTTCATTCCAAGATTACCTATGTTTTTTCTATCCTCTTTTGTTTTTTTTACATTTATATTTTCAAGTCATATAGAATTTGCTTTGTAGCATAAGGCAGGGATCTAAACTTTTTTCCTGACTTGCCAACGAGTTGTCTCATTAACATTTGCACTAAATAATCTGTATTCGTCCTACTGGTTTGAAATGTCTTGTTTACCACGCTAAATTCTCACAGACACCCAAGTTCTTCTGTTACTCGTTTTTTGTAGTTTTCTGAAACCCTAAATCCATGTATGTTAGTCTTTTAGAACTAGCTATCATTTTAACTATCTAGATTGAAAATTCTTATTCCTTAGACTCCACAAGATAGTTGAATAATCGATGCTACTTTTAATAGAAAGAAGATCTATTTCCATCCTTAGGAGGTGTGGGAAAGGGGAGAGTTTTCTCCCTGGGTCATAGGGTTTTGATATGGAAAGATGTAAAGACCACCTGTTCCAAAGCCCTAATTTTATAAATATTAATTGACTTAACAGTACAGAGCTGAGACTCAAACCAAGTCATATTCCCCTAAACCCATGCTGGAGGAAGATGGTTAGAGTAAGGATCTATCAAAGACAGCAAAAACAGAGTTAATAAAAGGATGATCCTTTCTGTTCTACATCTCCAGGGACTTGCAGGGAAACGGGAGGTTTCTGGAGCACCACCTTGAGAAAGCAGTTAAATATACAGGACTCACTGCTGTTACCTGAGTCCTTAGAAAATTCAGCAGAAAAAGGGACATCATGGATGCACCAAAGAGTGAGCACACGAGGACACATGCGCAGTCAGTAGGAGCAGCTTATCCAGTCGTGAAGTTCCAGACATTTTTCAGGAGTGCCGCTCTCACCCTGGTTGACTCTATGAAGGTCACTGAGGTCAGACGCCAGCAAGAGCCAGCAGCGGAGAGGCAGGAAATGTGTGGGGCTCTGGGAACACAGCAAAGGAGAAAAGGTTTCTGTAGACAAGGTTTGAGAGGAAACTCTGACAATGTGAGGAGGGCCCTGTGTATGTTGTGTTTTCTTTTCTCAGTCAAGAAAACTCTTTTATTTTTTATTATTAAACTCTTTTCTTTTTTATTATTGGAGTATAATTGAGTTACAATATTATATTAGTTTCAGGTGTGCAACATAGTGATTTGGTATTTTTATAGATTATAGTCCATATAAAGTTGTTATAAATTATTGGCTATATTCCCTGTGCTGTACATTACCTCTTTGTAGCTTACTTTTTATTTAGTAGCTTAATTCCCTGCCCCTCTTCCGCCCTCCCTCCACCACTCTCCACTTTGTAACCACTTAGTTTATTAAATTGTGTTCTCTGAAACACAGTCCAGTTTCCCTCCCACCTCCCCCTGGTGGAAATCACTTCTCTAGCAAACCACTTTCTATCTGACATTACTGAAGTTTTAAAAATACGCTTAGTTAAAAAAAAAAAGTTTAGTTTCCTAAAGATATTATGTACTTTGATTTTTTATTAGGAATATGTAGACATATGATTTAAAATTCAAGAGGCACAAAGGACTATAGTGAGAAATCTTGCTCCCACCCATGGTCTTCAGCTACCCGGTTCCTTGTTTATGAAGAACTAAACTCTAGTTTCTTATATACCCTTCCAGAGTTGTTTTCAACATATCCAAATACATAAGTACACACATATATTATTCTGTGAAAAGTTTTACACAAAGAGTAGCATGCTACACACACTTTTCTGCACCTTGACATTTTTACTTGATACACCCTGGGGATGCTCCATGTCTGTACACAAAAAGCTACGTCATTCCTTGTCATAGCTGCATTTCATTACACTCTAATGCAGGAATAAAGCATATTTTTTAAACCAGTTCTCTCATAGATAGATGTGTTTTTTAATTTATTTTTTATTTCTTTATTTTAACTGGAGGCTAATTACTTTACAATATTGTAGTGGGTTTTGCCATTCATTGACATGAATCAGCCATGGGTGTACATGTGTTCCCATCCTGAACCCCCCTCCTACCTCCCTCCCCATCCCATCCCTCAGGGTCATCCCAGTGCACCAGCCCTGAGCGCCCTGTCTCAGGCATCGAACCTGGACTGGCGATCTGTTTCACATGTGATAATATACATGTTTCAATGCTATTCTCTCAAATCATCCCACCCTCGCCTTCTCCCACAGAGTTCAAAAGTCTGTTCTATACATCTGTGTCTCTTTTGCTGTCTTGCATATAGGGGTCATTGTTACCATCTTTCTAAATTCCATAAATATGCATTAGTATACTGTATTTGTGTTTTTTGTTCTGACTTACTTCACTCTGTATAATTAGGCTCCAGTTTCATCCATCTCATTAGAACTGATTCAAATGTATTCTTTTTAATGGGTGAGTAATATACCATTGTGTATATGTACCACAGCTTTCTTATCCATTTGTCTGCTGATGGACATCTAGGTTGCTTCCATGTCCTGGCTATTGTAAACAGTGCTGTGATGAACATTGGGGTACACGTGTCTCTTTCAGTTCTGGTTTCCTTGATGTGTATGCCCAGCAGTGGGATTGCTGGGTCATATGGCAGTTCTATTTCCAGGTTTTGTCCAGATTTTGCCATCACATACAATGCTGTAGTTAATATATTATTTTACATGTCAGCACATTTATATTAAGAATAAAGTCCTAGAAGGGGAAATATGAGATACAAGAAGATGAGTATTTGTATTTTTTTTAATTGCTAAATTTCCCCTTTTAGAGATGGTACCAGTTTAAAGCCCTCCCAGTAATGTTGAAAGTGCCTGTCTCACATCTTTGCTAATATAATGTGTTATCAACTTTAACTGGGATAACTGAACACTAGTGTCTCAGTATAGTTTGAATTTGTATTTCTCTTATGAATAAGATTGAGAATCTTTTTATATATTGAAGGACAATTTGTATTTCAGTCCTATAAACCCTTTATTCTCTTAGCCATTTTGTGTCTAGTATGCTATTGATCTTCTTATTTTTGATTTCTTAATATTTATTGATTCTTAAGAACTTTTTATACAGTAGAGCAGCTAGTGATTTATCTGTGATTTTGGTTGCCCCTATTTTTCCAATTTGTTCTTTGTCTTTTAACTATTGGTACTTAGAAATCCTTTTATTTTATGGCTTCTGTGTTTTCTGTCAGGCTTTCCCAGACTAAGATTGTAAAAAATGACTTATGGCTTATTTTTGTAAACTGATGGCTTATTTTTTTACTTTTAAATATTTGATCTCTCTGAAATTTATCCTGGTCTGAAATTTTAGATGTGAATACATTTTTTCCCCCAGATGTGTAGCCAATTATTACAACACAATTTATTAAATAGTTTTATTCCAGCACTATTTATTAAATAATTTTTCTTTACTAATTTGAAATACTGTCCTTATAATATCTATACTTTCAAGGTATCCACATATTATAAGTTAAAATGAACTTTTCTTTTGTAACAACTGTCTTCAAAATCTTTATAAATCTTATAATTTCATGTGTGCACGTTCAGTCACTTCAGTTGTGTCTGACACTGTGGACTGTGGCCCACAAGTCTCCTCTGTCCATGGGATTCTCCAGGCAAGAACACTGGAGTGGGTTGCCATGTCCTCCTCCAGGGGATCTTCCCAACCTAAGGATCAAACCCCTTCTCTTATGTCTTCTGCACTGGCAAGTGGGTTCTTTACTACTTGCACCACCTGGGAAGCCCCAGTGATTTCATATCAGTCTCTTAAAAATCACTGGAAAATTGCATTTTCATTGTTTTCTTCTCTTTAATTTTCTCCCTCTTTTTGCTTAAATATTATACTTTGTCATGACAGAAGTCCCCAGTGAACCAGGAAGAGAGCTTCCTCAACTTGATAAAGAATATCTGCAAAAACCAACAACTAATGTCATGTTATACTTATGATAAAAAACTAATAACTTCCCAACCAAGATCAGGAAGAAGGCAAGGAAGTCCCCTCTCACCACTCCTTTTCAGCACTACGCTGGAAGCCCTTACTAATACAGTAAGATGAGGAAAGGGAACAAAAGGTATCCAGATTGGGAAGGATTAAAAAAAATTGTCTTTGTTCACAGATGACATGATCATCTATGTAGAAAATATAAATCAACAGTAGCAACAAAAAAAACTCCTAGAGCCTAGAGTTAGTAAGTTATTATAGCAATGTTGCAGTATTTAAGGTTAACATACAAAAAAGTCAATTTCCTTCCTATATATATATATACTAGCAATGAGCAAGTGGAATTTGAAATTTTAAACACAATGACACATACATTAACAGCCCCCAAAGTTAAATATTTAGCTATAAGTCTAACAAAATATGTGCAAGATCTGTATGAGGAAATTTTCAAAACCCTGATGAGTGAAATCAAATAAATGCAAGGGATACTCCATGTTCACAAATAAGAAGACTCAATATTGTCTAGATGTAAGACCTCATTTGATCGATAGATTGGGCTCAACCCCAATGAAAATCCCAGCAAGCTATTTTGTAGATATTGAGAAACTGGAAAAGGCAAAAGACTCAAAATAGTCAGTACAATATTAGAGGAGAAGAACAAAATTAGAGGACTGGCACTACCTGACTTCAGGGCTTACTCTAAAGCTATAGTTGTCAAAACATTGTGGTACTGAGGAAAGAATAGACCGCCTAAAAATAGACCCACATAAATCTAGTCAATTGATCTTTGACAAAGGCAATACAATCTGGCAAAAACGTTCCTTTCCGTAATGAACAAATGAACACCCACATACCAAGAAAAAAAAAGAGTGATTCTAAACATAGGTCTTATGCCCTTCACAAAGATTAATTCAAAACGTATCATAGACTGAAATGTAAAATTCACAACTAGAAGATAACATAGGGGAAAACCTAGATAACCTTGAGCATGACAATGACTTTTTAGGTATAACACCAAAGCCATAATCCATGAAAGAGACAATTGATAATCCAGACTTCACTAAAGTTAAAAACTTCTGCAAAAGATAATGTCAAGACTTTGAAAAAGCAAGCCACAAATAGGATAAATATTTGCAAAAGACACCTAATAAAGGACTGTTGTCCAAAGTATACAAACAATGAAGAAACAGTCTTTTTTCAAAATGGGCCAAAGGGACTTACTTGCTGGTCGAGTGGTTAAGACCTAGACTTCTAATGCAGGAGGGGTGGATTCAATCCATGGTCAGGGAGCTGAGATCCCATGTGCTTCATGGCCAAAAAGCCAGAACATAAACAATACAAGCAATATTGTAATAAATAAAGACTTTAACAATGTCTCACATAAAAAAGTCTTTTAAGTGGGCCAAAGACCTTAACAGATTCCTGACCAAAAAAAGATATACAGATAGCAAATAAGTATATGAAAAGGATCCCCGCATCATATATCATCAGGGAAATGCAAATTAAAGCAACAATTGAGATACTGCTTCACACCTATTAGAATGGCCAAAATTCAGAACACTGACAATACCAAATACTGGTAAGGATGTGGTGCAACAAGCACTCTTACACGTTGTGGTGGGAACGCAAAATGGTACAGCTACTTTGGCAATCTGTTTGGTAGTTTTCTTACAAAACTAAACATACTTTATCATGTGATCTAGCAATTTCTCACTCTGGCATTTACCCAAAGGAGGTGAAAACTTATCCACACAGAAACTGCACACAAATATTTATAGAAGCTTTATCCATGACTGCCAAAACTTGGAAGCCACCAAGATGTCCTTTCGCAGGTGAATAGGTAAATAAACGATGGTACATCCAGACAATAGAATATTATTCAGCACTGAGAAGAATTGAGTTGTCAAGCTGTGAAAAGACATGGAAGAATCTTGAATGCATATTGCTATGTGAAAAGGCTACATGTTGTATGATTCCAGTTGTATGGCATTCTGGAGAAGCAAAACTACAGAGACAGTAAAAAGATCACTGGTTGCTAAGAGTCTGGGGAGGGGGTGGGAGGGGAGAAATGAATAGGAGAAGCACAGAGAACTTCCAGGGCAGTGTATGATACTATAATGACAGATACATGTTGTTATACATTTGTTTAAACCCATAGAATGTACACCAAGAGTGAATTCTAATGTAAACTTTGGGTGATTATGATGT